ACAGCGTTCGGAGGCTTACCAGGCCTGGTGGGAGGCAGGCCCACATTCTCCCTCCAAATCCTCCTGATGGCCTGAGGGGCGGCCACAGTCGACCCCGGGCCAAGCAGCGAGACCGAGGCTCGGCCAGCCAGCGCCACATCATCACAGGGCTGTCACCGCGGCCGAGCGGCCGAGCGGGGGCCCCTCCGCGGCCGTCGCGGGCAGCTCAGCGGGCTGAGGACACAGCAGCCTGAGCCACACGCGCTCCGGGGACGCGGTGAGGTCATCGCCACCGCGCTCAGCGCAGCTTCCGGGCGCCAGGTGAGCCCGAAGGAAGCTTCGTTCCCTGGAGCAGTTCCTGCCTGACCAGCCANTGGAAACACTGGCGCTCAGGAAGTCTCGTCGTCATCAGCCCCCTCAGGAGCCTTTCCAGGCACTTGTCCTAATCGCCCTCCTCGCATGAAATTTTAATACCACAGATGTACTGGGTATCTGCTCTTTTCTCTCGGCGCATCTGCACTTTATGCAGGAGAAGAATATGCCTTCTCCACCCCCACAGGTCTGATTTCTGGCCCCTTGGGCGTGGGTTATGCACCGTGTCGTCTTAGAATTAATGTGACACAGTTCTCTTCACTTTTTTTAATACGACCACCAGGAATTTTTTTAAGAGACGGATGTGGCTCACATATTTCTACTTGGCGGCACCGCTACAGACAGAAGACAAATAGAAATGTGGACGCGAGCAGCCCTGTGTGTGCACAAGACGCACACGCACACACACGTCTGGGTTCCCTCGGAGCACACGCACGCACTGCCCAGGTCTGAGCGCTAAGCGGAGGCGACGGCACAGGACAGGTGTGTCTGCAGCCAGACCCCAGCTTCACCCCGGCCGCCGCACTGCGGACCCGGGGCCCTTTATGCCAACGGCTGGTTCCCGAGCTGGGACAACATAGAATACAAGATGACCTCAAGTAGCTTGTGCTAGGAAGGCGACAGAGCTCAAAAAAAACGGTGGGAATGTGTCAAAAAGACGCAGAAGCAGCTTGAAGCAGTGGCCCCTGGTCCAACCTGAGACCATCTGAGCATCAAATGGCAGCCTCGCCACTGTTTGCTGGGTTCGGGAGTCTGCGGAGGGGACCTCCTCTGCAGGAGACCTGCGGGGGTGCAGGGCGCCAACAACCTCTCACGAGTGTCAAGACACGTTCAAAGTTAAAACAAAATCTGACTTGGCAGAAAAGGCTTCCTTGTTTCCACGGGAACGAGCCCTCGTCTCCTTGCTCCCCACCGACCCGGGGGACCCCGAAGCCTTGGGAACCGTGTCCCCTGCCTGCGCTCGGGGACTCTCGGACACTTAAAGGCCACCTCTTCGTCCACAGGCACCTCAACGGCCTGCTGTGTCCTGCTCGCCGGAAAACATCTCGGAGCGGGGACCGGGAGCCTGCCGGGCTGCACTTGTTCCTCAAAGGAAGGCTCAGAATGACATGAGCAAACGGGGGGACGGCTGTCAGAGGCCCAGAGACCCCTCGGGAGGGCTCACATCACACAGGCCTGGGGCGGGAGCGCGGCCACAACCGGAATCTACCCAGCTCCAGGGTTTCGAAGGGTGAGCAGCGAGTGTGTCCTGAGGGACACTTGTCACTGAAGCAAGCCGTGGGGAGCGCAGGGTCAGAGGTTCACACCGGGACACGGGAGGCCAAGGGCCAGGCTCACAGCACTTGTAACAGGACGGGAGGGAATGAAATCAGAGCCGGCTTCCTAGGGGAGGTGGCTGCTAGACTCAGCTCCCACAGGAAGACTCAGGCCAAAAGCAGGGGCAGTCTCCCAGCGTGGGCCCAGCGCAGGCTTGGGGGCGGAGATGGCAGAGGGGTTGGCACGAGGAAGGGTGGAGGTGTGGGTCGGGGGAAGCCCTCTCTGCTGGCCCTGCGGGCTGCCTCCCCAGCCTGTGTCTCCGGGAAGGAGGCTGGGCGGCTGGTCCCCAAAGGTCGAGACTGCAGACTAAACTCAAGGGCTGGCTGCTGGCATCAGCAACCTCAGGACGTCATAACCCAAGCTGCTCGGGACACACACGATCTCGTATTCGGATCAGCAGATTGTGGCCATGCCTAATTAGTTTAATTAAACCCAAGGTGGCTGCCAGGCATTTTGGATTAAAAAAAAAAAAATTTAAAGCACACCCCGCCAGCTCCAGAAGGGCAGGACAAAGGAGCCCCTGGGGGCTGCCCGAGGAGCCGTCCTCGCTCCTGGCTCTGCACACAGGAGATGCTCAGTGAGTGCACATGGCTGTGACGCATCTTCAGGGCCAACTCAGCGGAGGTGCACGCAGACGGCAGGGCCACTAAAGTGCCGTGCCCTGAGACGAGGATGCCACTGTCACAGGAGAGGCCAGGGCAGCATTCTGGAATGAGGGGACGTCGGGCAGGCCTCTGGGCTGGCCGGCGCCATGGAGAGGCACGCAGTGGCCACAGGAAGATGGAAAAGGGCCCCGCCCACTGGCCAGCAAAGTAGCCAGACCCCACAGGAAACAGGCATGCACACCCCGCCCCACCCATGTTGTGGAAAGAGACACACACCAGGAACAACCTGAGAAGCAGGCCAGGAGCACCCGTCAGAAAGCCAGGAAGAGCGCAGAGAAAAGGCTTCTGAAATCAGATTTATTTAAACAGTCCCAAAAGGGAGGCCCGACTTCATGTTTCAGTTTCACCACCTGCTACCTGTGTGACCTCGGGCAAGTCACTCGACCTCTCTGAGATGCAGGTTTCTGATTTATGAAACAGGGGTGCGGACTTCCCTAGCGGCTTGCTGGTTAAGAACTCGCCCGCCAATGCAGGGACACAGGTTCAATCCCTGGTGGGGGAAGACTCCACTTGCCGCGGAGCAACTAAGCCCGTGCACCTACAGCCCGCGCTCCGAAACAAGAGAAGCCACCACAGGGAGGACAGGATCACACATACACGCGTGCATCACAACAAACAGCTGCTTGCCACGGCTAGAGAAAGTTCACGCGCTGCAACGGAGACCCAACGCGCCAAAAACATCAATAAGAAAGAAACAAGGGCGGCCTGTGCCTCCCAGGACGGTGCCTCGCCCAGGGCAGGACGGGTAAGAAGGGGCAGCTGCAGTTTTCTTGGGATGCAGTCACCGTGGACCAGGAGGACCGCATCCTCTTCCCTCCTCGTCTCGGGCACAGAAGCACCCCAGACGGCAAAGAACAGCCGCATAGACAGACCCCACGTTCCTCTCCCAAACACTGCACTGCCAGACGTGGTCCACAGGACTATTCTTTAATGGGAATACACAGATGGGGCCCTCCGGCTAACCCAGGTTTACGGAGCACCCAGAACCAACCCCGTGCCAGCCACAGACATACAAAGACCAGTGTGACCAGCTCCACCCTCCATGAGATGACAGGCAGGGGAGACCAGCCCTCAGTCACAAGGGGCCATGCATGCCCACGTCCAGATGAGATGGCTAATGTTCGGTCAGCGCACATCACTAAGGACATTCTCCGCCTTCCTTTGGGGAGCCCTCCCATCAGGGCTGTAAGGCGGCCCCTAGTGCCGGCCCCACTACACAGGTGGGGAAACTGAGGCCCTTAAAGCGGTCGCTGGCAGGAGGCGACAGTGCCCATATCACTAAAAGCATGTGGTCGTGAAGACAGACACACCTTAGCTCCCTTTAGCGCCCCTTCACCCTGGCTGGGGTGGGGGGCTCCAGGGACCCCAGGAAGTCTCTGCATTTCCAGCACTGGGGCTGAGCCAGCCACCTGCCAGAGCCCGTCCTCCCCATCCTGTCCTGGAGAGGGGGCAGCTCCAGGACCCAACCCCGGCTGTGCCCCTCTGCCAACCAGCTGGGGGGTGGGGGGCAGCCCCTGTGTTCACAACCAGAGGCAGACACTCCAGGCCCAGCTCTGCCCTCAGCAGCTCCTCCTCCCCTCAGTTCCTCCAGCCCTAAAATGGGTAAGTACTTCCCAGCCCCCGGGGAAGAGGACTGGATCTGTGAGAGCACCCCGCAATCAGGGCGCCCGGCCCCAGGACCTCAGCTCCGAGAGGGCCCGGGTAGGCGCTGGCTTCAGGGAGCTTGGGTCCCTCCCTGGGCCATGCGCCACAGTGGAGCCGGAGGGTGGCCCCCTGCCCGTCAGGACTCCTCTTTGTCAGCAGGCGCCCCATCCTCTCGGGGGGCGGGGGGGGTGCCCCCATCTCCTTGGAAACGCGGTCACAGCCAAAGGGCAGAGGCCACGCAGTGCAGCCTGGAAAAGCTGTGACTCACGCCATCCCTCCTCCCCAGCCCACTTCGGATGTCCCACTTGTGAAGGGCCCTTGTCCATCCGGGCTTGCTGAGGGTCACAGAAGAGGGGCTCTGCTGCTGGCCTGCTGCGGGATGGCCCCGCAGAGGTGCTGGGCTGGGGCCGAGGGGCCAGGAGAGCAGGAAGCAGCCTGCCCTCCGCTTAAGTCTTCACCAAGTTCCTTAGAAACCAGAGCNCCCACCCACCCGCTCTCTCTGGCGGCTAGGGCTCCAGGCTCCACCAGCCCCTCCTGCCGCGCCCCGCTCCCGATGCCTGTCGGTTCGCCTTCCAGGGCGTCCAGCCACCAGGCGCAAAGCCAAGGGACACTACGCCTGAGGAGGCCACCGGCGCGGCCGGATCTCTGGGGTCCGCAGGGGCCGGAACTCGCTGGGTCCCGACGCCAAGGCCGGGGAGGGAGGGCGGCGGTGGTGAGTGCCCCGCCGGGGCTCGATATGCCCACATTCCCAGGAGGCACGGACCCAGCGGCGGACGCTCCCAGGCAGTGCCCGGAGGCGGCAGAGGTGCGCCCCGGGCTTAGGGGACTTTGGCTAACTTCGTGCCTCCGGGGATCGCCCCTCGAAGCAGCCGGCTCCGAGGCCCGGGACGCGTCTCCTCTCGGCTCCCCGTCCAGCCGTCCGCCGACGTCCCCAAGGCTACCGCTCGGATCCGGGCCCCGGGGCCGCCCAGCGGCGCGAACAGCCACAAACCGGGGCCCCTCCGGGCGCGCCCGGACCCTCACCTGGGACATCTGCGGCCGGAAGTTGACGTCCTTGAGGTCGATGGAGCCGGGGGAGAGGTTGTGCAGCAGCTGGCACAACAGGACGCCGTCGCGCAGCGCCTGGGCCAGGTCGAAGACCACGGCCGAGGGCCAGACGACGCGGTGGTTGGGCGGCAGGACCCTGCAGTCGATGAGCCAGCGGCCGCATTGCCGCCACTGCTCCATGGCGCCCGCGCCCGCCGGGCCGGCCAGCTCAGGGCCGCGCTCCGGCCAAAGTGCGGCGGCCGCGGGGCATCCCGCCCGCCCGCGCGGGGCTC